ATCACTTACTATGTGTTCTGGCAAATGTCAAATTGTAATGCAGAGGAATTCTCAAATTAAATGTTTGTCATCGACTTATACACATGCATTGTATTGAACTTCTATTGAACTTCTTGTAGAAGCATCTATCAATGTTATTGTATATGATCTAAACTTATACCTATATATATAGAGATGTAGATGTTCGATTGTCTGTTAAAAGTAGTCCCGACATTTTAAGACTCATGGGTGATTTAGAACTTGAAGACGCCTGTCAATTGTTTATGATTGTATGTTGACCTCTACAGATGTTATTTGGTGTGTGTGTCGTTAAGTTGCTGTCTCATATACATGTCGTATACTCTACAGCTACTTTTATTCAAAGCAAAATCGTTACGGTTGTCTTACGAAATGAAATCTTCATTTATATTGTAAACTGCATGTTTTTTCAATCAAAATGCATTTTGAACAGAGCAAAGGAACCACGGATGATACAAACATGATCAAAGCAGTATATTACCCACTAGTATTGTTGTGAATATACATCTAACATTTCAATAAGAACTTCCGTTTCACTTTGTCTTTCAATCATTTTTGGTACAGCAGAATATGTTTGGTTTTGAAGATGACTGACTTTCCATTTATAAGTGAGATCCGGACAAAGGAGCGTTCGCTTGGATATGTGGAATTTTTACATACGCAGTCGCAATGGGAAAGTGTCCATAGGTTTATATGTTGTAATGCTTTTCTGACCCGATACCAAATATACAGTAACAACAGTTTTTCTAGTGACAGTCTTAACTATCCATTTTTCCCTTTTCATCCGCTTTTAAGATGATATCAGTTGGTATGTTAATAACATGTTAAGACAGTGTCTTCCCGAATATACATGAAATATTAGCCACTGGACGTACAACAACAATAATCAATCATTCCAAAATCCATGAGCAAAACTAATGTACAAGAACAGCGTTGACAATACCTACCGCAAGTTCCGATTTATACTAATTCTTAATTTCAAAATGTTCATCTTTTTAAAATCAATTGATCATTAACATTGAAACGCATACGAACACCGTCACTTGAAATGTGAATAACATGCATGTGATTGGATTGAAAACGAGACTGTGCTCTTAATGTTAAAGAGTCCAAAACGACAGAAACAATTTATATGAATAAAACAAACAGAATATGTTGCATCTGATGCATGGGTTCCGATATTTTTCAAATATCTCCGCAGATAACCTAAAGGACCATTTGCTGCCAAATTCATGCTTATCGAATTTAGTCAAACTATCAAATTTGATTTAATGTATACTAAAACGTAATTCAGAACTCCAAAAGCTTCATAGAAAACACAAGGTCTGAAATCGTTATAAAGTATCATCACTTCGCACTGGACGTTACTTAATTAAAAAGGCCGAATTTAAAACTATCGACGTGGCCCACGAACACTGTCGATGAGCATGTGACCCCGTTATGATTATAGATATTAAACAGGTTATCACGTGCACACTATAAGATCGATTTTCTTAGTTCTGTTTGATCTTGTTTCATAGATAAAACATATAAATGAAATGTAAATTATTCACTCATAACCTTTATAAGATCGATTTTTCGCAGGTCTTATCAATCAACACAATCGGTTTTCCTGTTGACGCTCTAGTTTCCTTTTTTCAGCTGACGTTCATTTCAATCACTGGACTTGCTCAGCACATGTACAACCCATCTCCAATTCAACAAAGGTTAAATCAAGGGTCAATAATACATCCGTGATGTTTTTAGCGTATTTTGACAAAATTGAACCAAACTGACTGCTAATAGTGAAATATTATGTCAATATTCCGCATTTATACAGGGGCGGGGGCGTGGCGGGTGTGCGCCCCCCTAAAATTTGCAAAGCATGGGTTGTCCTCAGCTTAATAAAGAATATTTCGATAATTTTACCGCCAAATAAATTTAAGTTTGCGCCCCCCATAATCTAAAATCCTGGATTCGCCCCTGTTATAGATGTTAAAAAGAAAGCAAATCAGATTTTTTTTGGTCTAAGTCTTAGCTAGCTAATGCCCCTTTAAAATATACCATAGATAGAGATAAAATCAGATTTAAAAGTTCCACTGAAAATTATTTTGTTTTTGTTTCAAGATTAACTTAAATATATTATATTCTTGGCCACTTGTTCTCAAGATAAGTTAACAGGTTTGAACGAAACGTGTCCCTCGTGAAATTGACATCTGTTAAATAATTATGGACAATAAAAACTTACCCAACCCTTATGTGGAAACATGTGGCTAAAAGTACAACCATGTGTTGAACTGTAATTAGATTTGGCACTTTCAATAGTATTTTTAAGCGAAATGTATGTTTTGTTCGCTTAAACAATGTCGTTAGATTTTGGACTAATCGACCTTACATACAATCTTTCGTAAATATAAATCAACATGCAGACATCTTATACGTTCAGGTATTTCACATCCAATCTTTTATGGTAATATTTTTACTAAGCACAAAAATGTCGGCATTCACCTCAAAAGCTAACCAAACCTTTAAACAGGCTTATTCAGAAGGGATATAGTTACGATACTGTTGTTAGGTCATTAAGGATGGCATATTTTTGTATTAATATTGATTCACTCATAGGGTCTTTGCATCGGAAATAAACACATTTATTCTAAAACCAGTTGTTGGCATGATACGGGTTATGCTCTTCTCATATATTTTATGATGGTATGATACTAAACCCCTAACGTGAGGGATTGTGCTTGATTTTCATATGATGAAGACATATATATATATATAATCTTTCAATCAATGGAGCTGGCATGTTAGTAACTGCTAGTAGTCCTCTGTTAATTTATGTTTCATTATCATTTTGCTTGGTTTCTTTCGTTTCCTATTCTGACATCGGACTCGGACTTCTTTTAAACTGAGTTTTACTGTGCGTATTGCTGTGTGTTTCTTTATTCTACATTGGCTAGAGGTATAGGGGGAGGGTTGAGATCTCACAAAACATGTTTAACCCCGCTGCATTTTTGCGCCTGTCCCAAGTCAGGAGCCTCTGGCCTTTGTTAGTCTTGTATGTTTTTTAATTTTAGTTCATTTATATGTTTTGGAGTTTATTATGACGTCCATTTTCACTGAACTAGTACACATTTTTATTTAGGAACCAGCTGAGGCCAGCCTCCGTGTGCTGGATTTTCTCGCTGCGTTGAAGACCCATTGGTGGCCTTCGGCTGTTTTCTGCTCTTTGGTCGGGTTGTTGTCTCTTTGACATATTCCCCATTTCCATTCTCAATTTTATTTCCTCATGTTTGCTATTTCATAAACTAAATAACTCAAACAATCCACAGCTATATTTACGTGTATCGTGAAAAAATCAAACAACGAAAAATATGTCCATATTTGCGTTTTCCTTATTCTTATTTTATTTTATTTCAATTTATTATTTATTTATTTATTTATCCTCATTATTTTTAGGTGAAACCGGACGCCACAGAAGCCAATATGCCGTCAGTGTATTGAAGACAAATTCCGTTTTACCCTAGCGTTCTCGAAATTTAAGGAACTTAGAGAAAAATGCATTAATAAAAATATTTCTGGTGTAGGCCAAGTGTCAAATTATTGAACTTTTGAGTTAAAAAAACATCGTACAGTAAACTTGTTTAAGAAAAAAACATTTTTAACTCAGCTAAAATCAGAGACAATGTTATAACATGAACATTTTCTCGGTCTGTTTACTTTGAAATTTTGTATAGATCCTAATGAACTGCAAAGTAATACAGTATCTGAAAGTAAGACTACTTCCCGTTGCTAAGTAGTTTTCAAAGGGTAAATGGTTTGTTAATTCTATCTTGTCCATGAAAATTCAAATCCAGTATTGAATGTTATTAATTTGATTAATTAATGAATATGTTGATAAACTAAAAGGATTGACTAATAAACACAAAAATGTTATTTGTGACATCGTAACCGCGTATTAGACCCCAAAATGTTGTTTATGATATCGTAACCGCGTATTAGACCTAAAAATGTTATTTGTGACTTCGTACCCGAGTATTAGACCTTAAAATGTTATTTGTGATATCGTAACCGCGTATTAGACCTAAAAATGTTATTTGTGACATCGTACCCGCGTATTAGACCTAAAAATGTTATTTGTGACATCGTAACCGCGTATTAGACCTAAAAATGTTATTTGTGACATCATACCCGCGTATTAGACCTAAAAATGTTATTTGTGACATCGTAACCGCGTATTAGACCTAAAATGTTATTTGTGACTTCGTACCCGAGTATTAGACCTTAAAATGTTATTTGTGACATCGTAACCGCGTGTTAGCCCTAAAAATGTTATTTGTGCCATCGTAACCGCGTATTAGACATAAAAATGGAAATTTTACACTTAGTTTTAGGTTCGATTTTAACACGAGCAACAATATTATACTCAAAACAATATATTTACTCACATCGACACCATCTTACAACTTGCAGCAGACTATCTTTTATAGTATTGCTGTTGATCATTCTAATTATTTAAAATTTTGAAAAAAAACTTTATAATCAGATTCCAAAACTAAATAATTTAGTTAAAACAAGAAAATTATATTATCTATGCCCGAACTTGTGCAGTGTGTCACTCATGGAAAAGTCCATAGTACTGCGGAACGTGGACTCACTAGCTGGATAGTTCTAAATAATAATGATCTCTGGTATTAAAAATTGTATACTAGTATTTGTATTGTTTTCTTGACTATGAATTATTGTATGCCATCAACCCGTTTGAAGGCCGAAAGCAAAGATGTAAGACAAAATTCAAAATTAACTGACAGCGTTGAAAAAAACCTTTTGAGCATATTAATTAATGTGACTTGGTTTCCCCCATATTGTATAAAGTAATAAGAACTGTATTATTGTGTTATTGTAATTGACATTTAAGGCAATGAAGAATTCGTGTTGATTCGATTGTCCAGTTATTTGCCGTGGGCGTGATACAGTGACCAGAGAAATAAGAAAATACTTACTACAGAAAAACAATTTATATCACAAAATCATCAACACAATCAATAACAAACTCATTAAAAATGGAATTCTCATGAAATCATTGGCAGCACTATTGTTAACATTGTTCGACTCAACAAAAGGTTGCACAAAATTCAAATATCGTTTTGGACAGTGCCATCCTTTGAAGTTGTTTATATCTACTAGTTTCGTTGGGTTTTGCATCCATTCAAGTAACTGTTGGTAACTTATTATAAAAACATCAGAATAATAATGTAAAATTGTTAAAAGAAAGTAATTCATTGCGTCGTAATTGTGCTTTTCCCTGAGCCAAGACGAGTGCATAGTGTAAAATAACGGGGCTCTAGAACCTTTATAAAAACTGTGAAAGTTCACCCAGAACAATTGGAATGCTTCCTCTTTATTCTCTGGACGACATGAGTCAAGGTAGAGACAACCTATCGGCGCAAAGGGTTTCTCTAACATCATGACGGGTACTTCCCATAGACCAGAATAACTCCCTTTGGGGCATGGACGAACGTTACAGTCAAGCTGCCATCCAAAGTCTAGCGTGTTTGGCCAGAATTTACTGCTGAATCCGTTTTCTGTGGCTACAGTCATTGTTGAATCGTACTGAAAGTTTTCCTCTTGTAAAATTGAATAAAGCTTGTCACCTGCTGATTGTAAAAATGGACTTCTCCATCCTGTAATATTCTGTATTGGAATACCCGTTTTCTGGGCCAAGTTTTTTCGTTGTTGGACAATTTCATATCGAAGCTCTTCTGTTGATGCCTCTTTCCAGAAGTCTGTCGGTGTTCTGTGGGTGACACTATGAACAGCAACCTCCATTCCCTTGCTATAAAGGTCCCGCACCAAATTGTACTCTGTATAATTATGCGAAACAAACATTGTCATAGAAATTGGACATCCATTTGGATTAAAACGATTATTTAGGAATAATTTCTCGTACATCTGGTAATTTTCTGAATTCACTGCATCATCAAAAGAAAACACAATTATTTGTGGAATTTCTGAGGATAAAAGATTTCCTGGGGTATCCCTTCCCCCACAATAACAATTTGGCAATCGACAATTGTTGTCTTGTAAACATATTTCCGCGCCAACCATTAAGACACATATTAGTAAAATATTTTGTAAAATATCAGGCGAAAACATGTCCTTTCTGGTGAAATATGGCAAATGACAAATTTTTGTAATAACCACTAATTAATATAATCCCACGGAATGTAATCTCATACAAACTACTGCTTTTGTTTTTTATGGGTCCGTCCTAAGGCCAATTAGTTTTTATCCTTTTTTATGAAACATTTGTCATATCACCACAGTCTGTATTATACATTTTATAGCAAAACGTAATATAAGTTAACATCCATTTATAAATTTCTGATCGTGTTCACGTATTCCCGTGTTTTGTATCAGACGCTATTATAGTATGCATCTTAAGTTATCATCTATTTTCTATTGATAACATATGGGATATTATTACCAGCGATAAAAGACGAGAAATTTCACAATAAAATTGCAGTCACTATAAATTTCCCAGTATTGTAGTCGACTGTGTTATCTGCAGTTAATCTTACAAGTTAGCCATTGGCTCAACAAGATAACAATAATCACGCCTCCACCAAAGTTTTATATATACAATTTATACTATCAAAGTCATTTATCTCCTAGTACTTTGTGTGTGTCCGTCAATTAGTCAATTTTTGTCAGTCAAACGACGCCCCTTTTCCTCAGCAACATTAATGCATCTACACTGCTTGAAATGCAGAATCCAAATAAATCTATTGAAGCACGTGATGGGATAAACTGGTAATGCACAGCGGTTTACTTGTGTTGAATTAATTAGTTTCCTCGCTGACATTTCTTCTCAATTTCAAACGAAATTGACGAACAGCATGAATATTTTTCATTTTAATGTATTTTAATATAAATATTCATACAGATAAACGACTAAAAGGTTGAAAGTTTTGATAGAAATATTTTATAGAACATGACAGGGCATATTGATTTTGTAACATCGCTAGAAAAATGATACTTCAAAAAAGATCTATAACATCAGTGAAATGAAAATGAATTCTGTGTGCAATAAAGTTGATTCCTGAGAGGTGGGGTTTTGTATCACCATATCTAGCAAAAATTTTTTTTTTTTTCAGTTTGGCGATTCGTGTAATTTTAGCATTTTGTGAAAGGTTCTAATATTATTACATGTGTATTTAGATTGGGCGGACCGTGTGAACGATATACCCAGCAAGTAGTGCCCAGGTCTTGTCCTTGTGTATGGAGACCAAAGGGATAATCAAACTCACAGGTCGAAAACGAACTAATAATGCCATAGAACTATTTAACTGAAAGGAAGCGCATGTGAATACTGCACTAATATACTTTATTGCAAATATTACTTCAAAATTAAACGTCATTTATGAATTGAATTTCTTTGCCTTTTAAGGGTTGATCGTAACACATTTTCTAGAGCGGAGATTTTTTTTAACGTGCATTGACTTGATTCTATATTCATACTACCCGTGTGCATGGTGATTGGTTCCTGGCTTTGACATATAAAATATTAATTCGGTCATTGTTGCATTCAATAGTTGATAACAAAAATGGTCTACACTTTCTCTTTAGATTACAACACAATTTTCACATTTTTTATAATGAAAAAGAGTAATAACTTAGTCCCAGTCTTTTACCTAGCGTTTTATGTGACTCAATCAGTAGCCAAAACAAAAGGTTTTTTATTTCCTTATCGATTTATAAACTAATACACGTAAATGCAATTGATTTTAAGACCTTAAAGAAGCCAATTCAATCACATCATATGGTGTGTCTCTTCAATGTGACAGGTTTTGGTTGTGTCAGAAACTTCATTGAAAAAAGTATGCAACCTTCTAAATAGTGATCACAATGTGTCTATATACTTCAACTGTGTCCAGTGGAGCTTATTTGATGAATTTCTTTTCTAAGTAACAAAATTCAATAGACAAAATTTTCCAATGCATTTTGGGTGGAAAAACTATAATAATTTTATAAAATCTACCCTGTGAATCAATTATAATAGCCACATCTTCTATATAGGGCTATGTAAAATATTTTTGATCTAATTTAGTCTTGTTAATCGCCGCTAAATTCTGCAGGACTTTTTAGGATTCCTGTTAGATTCAGCACATATCTATTAGAAAAATGAAAAAAAGTTCCCATGATTCCTTATTAAATGTTAATTTAGGGAACACAGAGCTGAGAAAACAAATATACTCCACCCTATTTATATGTATTTGTTTTTATTGATTAAAGAATTCGTGAAATACTTGCCACTAGAAATGAATCAATCAATGAATACTTTGAAATCGTATAAGCGTTACATTGATACGTGAATATATCAAAGCATGGGTATCTCTATAAACATGTAAAAATGAATTGTATAACATCCACTCTTAAGTAACCCATTCAATTTTTCTACCCTGTATTTTTTTTTTATCTTTTCAAAAGATTAATAACTTTATACGACTTAAAGGTGACAAAGGTCAACATGCTGTAAAATTTTATTACATAGTTAAAACTAAAACTAAGAAGTACTTCAACATTTTCACATACGTGTCAAAATTTTTTTAAACCCCTCAAAAACAAGACTTTAACGACGCGCTTAACAATATATATGCAATTTAACATATTTTTCCGACACACAACATATTTCTATATGGGATAATACAACAAAACTTTTGATTTGATATCATTATATGAATAATGTACAATGTTTATAGAATGAAATCTAAGTATATTAATACATGACCAATTCACATGTTGCACAACAGATACTGATTAATTACTATTGATAACCAAGATCTTCATTTACATATATCAAATAGGATTTTTATACGTCACAGACCTGTTGGACCAGAATTTATGTGTAAAATAAAGTTTAATCAATTACATTCCAAAAGAAAAAGCCTCTTCACAGTAAAAAAATATGACGGTCATTTTTCAATTTCATCTGTTGTTTCCTTTTTTTTTTCTTTTTATTTTCGCCGTTCGATTTTGGTATTAATTGTGATTCTTGAAGTAATTTTTAGATTTCTTTTAATCAAAGCTTTACTTTGAAATAAAAAAAAACTTTTTTCTCACATATTTGACATTTTTTAATAGAAATGATCTATGCTACGAAATAATTTGTTATATTCTTGAAGTTTGCAAAATGCCAACAATTGTCTAAAAAATGCAAATCGAAGAATGATTAAATGTTTGTAGTAATCTCGGAATATAGAAATTTTGCTATTATGTTTTTTAACTTTCCTAAATGTTAACATCTATACATTGACATAGATCATCCGCACGGATATGAGACATATGTTTATCTCGAATCAATACAAATAGTTCAATTTGCTACTGGCCTCGATCTGATAAGGACAAATATATAAAACTTACCCTCGGAGGAATACCATAATGGTGATCGTTGTCAAAATGATTTAACATATTATTGTATCCGCCAGCGGCTAATGTTTTGTGCATTTGGGTGAAAAAAAAATTTTTCTTTGTCGTGACATCTGGTAGCTGTCAGTATATACGTGCGGATTCGTATATGATTATATTTATAGGTTTAACTTTTAAGGGCAGTCAAATTCAGTCTGCCAGTACAGGTCCATGATGCTCATATTGTCTGATCTTTCTACTGTTGATAATGAAAATCAGAAATAGAGAGTTATCTGTCCTAGAAGCAAACTATTACTGAGCTTATGATATTAAAATCAAATTAAAAAATTGAGAATGGAAATGGGGAATGTGTCAGAGAGACAACAACCCGACCAAAGAGCATGAAACAGGAGAAACAACAACCCGACCAAAGAGCATAAAACAAGAGACAACAACCCGACCAAAGAGCATAAAACAAGAGACAACAACCCGACCAAAGAGCATAAAACAGCCCAAGGCCATCAATGGGTCTTCAACACAACGAGAAAATCCCGCACCCGGAGTCGGGCTTCAGCTGGCCCCTACACAAAAATGTGTACTAGTTCATTGAAAATGGAGGCACACATTTTATCGACATTGCATATTCAATGCATTTTAACCGTTCTTTTACATCATTTTCAAATGTCTCCAAAAATGTCCATGTGTTATGAAATTTCTGCTGTAAGTATTTTATAATTACTGCAGCTGTTCATATTTAAATATAAAACTGTTAAATATACACTCATTGTCGAAAATATAAAATGTATATTTGTAAGGGCTTTCCTCAGAAACGCGAGCTCGCGGATCTTATTAACAGTTTCGTAGCGAGCACAAATATATTTTGTATATTTTTCTGACAATAAAGGCTTTTTATGTCTCAATCTTTGTCTGATCTTTTAAAAGTAATCGGCATTGCTTTAACGCGACACGAATAACGTGTGACATAAACAATCATTTTATATTATCGTTTGTTCAAAATAGAAGCTGGATACTTGGAGGCGATATTTGTATACTTAATATAGGCGCATATTATAAAGCAAGGTTATTTCTAAATACCGGTAACAGATTAAAAAAAAATGTGTCATCTTGAAGTTAACTTAACTTAAAAAGGGTTGGCTGGATTATGAGTTATCGCCATCCCTGTGAATTCTCCTGTTCGGCAGTATAACTAAAGTAGATGGTTCGTTTTGCTGTGTATAAAAACAAAGTCATAGTATCACTTTCTATAATAGATTCCAGCCATTTTTAAAAGGGGGTTCCCAACCCGGGATAAAGGGGGGGTTCTAACTATATGTCCCACTTCAAATGCATTGATCGTCAAAAAAAGGGGGGTTCCAACCCCCGGAACCCTCACCCCTCCCTTGGATCCGCCACTGGTCCGTTTTGCTGTTTATAAAAACAAAGTCATAGTATCACTTTCTAAAATAGATTCCAGCCATTTTTAAAAGGGGGTTCCCAACCCAGGATAAAAGGGGGGGGGGGTTCTAACTATATGTCCCAATTCAAATGCATTGATCGTCAAAAAGGGGGGGTTCCAACCCCCGGAACCTTCACCCCCCCCCCCCCACCCCCCCCCCCCCCCCCCCCCCTTCCCTTGGATCCGCCACTGGTCCGTTTTGCTGTTTATAAAAACAAAGTCACCAGTATAACTTTTCTGAAGTAGGTGGTCCGTTTTGCTATGTATAAAAACAAAGTCATAGTATATCTTTTCTAAAGTAGGTGGTAGGTTTTGCTATGTATAGAAACAAAGTAATAGTATAACTTTTCTTAAGTAAGTGGTCCGTTTTGCTGTGTATAAAAACAAAGTCACAGTATCGCTTTTCTAAAGTAGCTGGTCCGTTTTGTTGTGTATAAAAACAAAGTCATAGTATAACTTTTCTTAATAGATATAGGAAGATGTGGTATGAGTGCCAATGAGACAACTCTCCATCCAAAGTCATAGTATAAATTTTCTAAAGTAGATGGTTCGCTTTGCTGTGTCTAAAAACAAAGTCATAGTATAACTTTTCTAAATTAAGTAGCTGGTCCGTTTTGTTGTGTATAAAAACAAAGTCACAGTATAACTGTTCTTAATAGATATAGGAAGATGTGGTATAAGTGCCAATGAGACAACTCTCCATCCAAAGTCATAGTATAAATTTTCTAAAGTAGATAGTTCGCTTTGCTGTGTCTAAACACAAAGTCATAGTATAACTTTTCTAAAGTAGCTGGTCCGTTTTGTTGTGTATAAAAACAAAGTCACAGTATAACTTTTCTAAAGTAGCTGGTCCGTTTTGTTGTGTATAAAAACAAAGTCACAGTATAACTTTTCT